TAATTAGTCCAGCCGAGAGGTGTCTAAAGGCATGGACAAGGGTTTCAGCAGCTTGTGGAATGAGGTATTGTCAGAGACGGGCAATGTGACGGAGGTGGAGATAAGCGGTGCTGGTTAGGGACCAGATGTGGAGGAGGAACAATAACTGGGGATCGAACCTGATGCCTAAGTTGCGCACAAGTTCAGAGAGTTTTAAGGACAGATTGGGTAAGTTGAAGAGGTCTTGTTGACATTTAACTGCAAGAAGTTTGTGCTCATCCAGGCCTTGCTGTCTGTCAGACAAGTTAACAATAAAATCAGGGGACTGGGGGTTGCAGCTAGAGGAGGAGAAGTAGAGTTGAGTGTCATCCACATACATGTGGAAGTTATCCCGTTGTCTGCGGATGACATCTCCGAGGGGGAGCACATAGATGAGGAAGAGAAAAGGGCCAAGGATGGAGCCTTGGGGTATTCCACAGTTGACCAAGTGGGGGCAAGAAGAAAAACCATTTGCGGAAATGTATTGCTGGCGGTTTGTAAGGTTGGACTCGAACCAAGCGAGTGCGATCCCACTGAGGTGGATGATGGAGGACAGGCGGTGGAGGAGGATGGCGTGATTGACTGTGTCGAACGCGGCGGAGAGGTCCAGGAGGATGCAGAGGGAGCCCTGGTAGAGAGGATATCGTTTGTGATTTTCATGACCGCTGTCTCTGTACTGTGGGCAGGGCGGAAACCAGACTGGAGGGTGTGGAGGGACAGGTGTGCGCGAAGTTGGTTGACAACAATACATTCCAAAACTTTGGCCATGAAGGGCAGGTTTGAGATCGGGCGGTAGTGCCCAAGGTCAGAGGCGTCGATGGTAGGTTTTTTAAGGAGGGGTGTGATGATGATGGCGGTTTTGAGGGGGAGTGGGACTGATCCTGAGGAGAGGGACTGATTAATGGTGTCTCCTGGCAGTGGGCAGAAGAGGGGGAGCTAGATGATCAGCAGTTGGGTGGGGAGAGGTCGAGGCAGCAGGTGGTGGATTTCATCAGAGTGATGGAGGATGAGAGGGAGGAAGGAGAGATGGGGGCAAAGGAATGTAGGATGGGGGCTGTGGTAGAAGCTGATGGGGGGGTGGGGGGGGGGGGGTGGTATGTGTGTGTGAAGGAGAAGGAATGGAGTTGGTAGGGGAAACGGGGCAGGAGAACGATGCTGCCGGGTGGATGTTTTCTATTTTAGAGGCAAGGACGTCCATGACCTCTTCACACTTGGCATTGATGTGATGATTGATAGTGCTTGAGGGGACGCACAGAGGAGGTAGTGGGTAGTGGAGAATAGGATTTTGGAGTTATTTTTGGCCTCCAGAATGATCTTTGAATAATACACAGTTTTTGCTTGCGAGAGTGTGATGGTGAACGAGTCACAGCTGGCGGTGAACCGTGAAGCTGGTTTTCTGCCACCTGCGCTCGAGCGGCTGGATTTGGGATTTTAGGGAGCAGAGATGGCTGTTTTACAGGGGGAGCGGGTGGGTTTGGAGACGGTCCTGGATTTCAGGGGGACGAGGGAGTTGAAGGTGGAGAAAAGGCGATCATGGAACAGCTTGACGGCTGCATCAAGGTCACTTTGGGTGGAAGGCCAGAGGGAGAGGACCTCTGAGGATGAGGGAGCATTTGTGAGGATCTCAGGGGGAAGTGTTTTCCATGAGTGGAAAAGGATGGTGTAAGGCTTGATGCAGGGGAGAGGGATGCGAGAGGAGAGGAAGATGAGGAAATGGTCTGAGATGGCTTTTCCGTGATGGATAGACCGGAGATATAAAAATAATCCTTGCATTTGATATAGAGCTTTTCACGTCTTCCAGACGTCTCAAAGCGCTTCACAGAATATACTATAAAGTGAATTGACTGTATATTTGTGGGCGAAATGCAGCAATCAATTGCGCAAAGCAGTGTCCTACAAACAGTTGTGGATTGAAATGAACAATTTATTATTGTTTTTTTTTCTTGAGGGATTATTATCAGAGTGTGGAGTAAGGAAACTTGCCCAAGGTTTCGCCCTGCCGGGAATCGAACCCAGGTCTCTCACTTGCGAGGCGAGTGCTCTAACCACTGAGCTACAGGACTCCACAAAGCCGTGGGTGATAACAAGGTTTAGGGGGCAGCCCCGGTTGTGGGGTCGGGGAGTTTATGTGGAGGGTGAGATTTAGGGTGGAGAGGAGTGCAGTGAAGTCAGAGGAAGTGGGGCAGGAGGAGTTGAGACGAAGGTTGAAGTCGCCCATGATGAGCAGGGACGATATATAAAGCTTAAATTCCCAAATTATTGCTTAAATTGAATAAAGCTTAAATTCACAGAATTATTTAAATAAATCATAATAATAATCCTTGGATTCTTTATAGCATTTCATCATGTTGTCAAAATCTCTCAAAGTGTTTCACAGGAATTTATTTTGAAGTGCAGCGATTGTGTATTTGTAGGCAAATGAAGCACCTAATTTGCACACAGCAGTGTCCTCTGTGAACAATGTAGTGAGTGATCAATTTTATTTTGAGGGAATGTTGGTCAGGACGTTGGGAGAAACTCGCTTCTATTTTTGAATAGTACCATGGCATCTTTAACATCTACCTGAACAGGCAGACAACATCTCAGTTTAATGTCATTGTTTGAAGCCATGACCTTTTAACTCAGAGGTGCTATTAATTGAGCCAGGCTGACACCTAAATATATAATATTATTTTTCATTTGGTAGAAGAAAATAAGCTGCTTCACAAATTGTAAACACGATAAAACAATTTCAAAAGGCCGGTAAACACAATGATGTTAGTTAACTGTTCCCAGCAGTTGAGATATTACTTGTTATGGACCATAAGTGAAAACTGCATACGTACACTGATGTCTTATCCAAATATACCAAAGTGCAAACATATTGAAGTCTAGTTTGTTCAGCATTAACTGACAACATTAACTCAGCAAATCCATTTACCATTGGCAGCAGATGGCCTATGTTGGGGGCAGCGCCAAGCAATGTTTGCGGAACATATGCTGTTGATTTTGTCAGAATTTCTGTCATAGGAAACCAACTTTACACTTACGGTAAGCAGTGGCAGAGTCCCTCTCACTTTGGTCAGTACTAATAAACATAGTGAGAGCTGAATATGGCACGTGAAAGCACTGGAAAGAAAGACATGGTTGATAAGTTTTTGCAGTATTACTAAAAGGATGATATGAATGAAAAGAAACGTTTTTGAAGTACAAACAACAACAATTTGCATTTATATAGCGCCCTTCACAGAGGGCAGTGTCTCGAAGAGCTTAAAAGGATGATTTGAATGAGAAGAGAGGGAAATGTCCTAAGGCAATAAGTCTCACATGTACGGAGATTAATAGTAGATCTGTGTGCCAATATGACAAGGATGATAGACTTGCAAGTTTATGCAAATTAGTTTCATCTATGTTTCAAGGTATAAAGGTGATCTGATCTGATGACACCTTTGATCTTCTTTAAGAAAACCTGTAATCCTTTCATTTTCTGCCAGGCTTCAAACTGACTAGACTTGTGTGTTTTTTAAACGATTTTGCATTATATATTAAGAAATGCAAAGTGACTGTGATGTAACATTTATTCTTCTTAAAAGTTCTTGTTCCTTTTGTCCAACATTGAGAATTATGTATCTGCACTGCTTGTCTTAAAAGCAGTTCTAGTGAGTTAGTGAGTTGTGCTCTCTTTTATGGTAGTGAAATATACTTATCTTAATTACAAAACCACAGAAATTAATTTAAGATCAATTATGCAATCTCTCCACAAAATATATTTCATAAACAGTAATTGCTTCATTTGATTTATTCTGTACCAAGGAAAACCTACATAACATTAAACGTGCAAACTTAACACAGACACTTAATTTAGTGACAGGGGTAAAATGAAGACAAGCTGTGTTGTATTACCCCCAGAAAGTAGATGCATATTTTTAAAATAAAATAAAATTAGTGGGCTTTTGGAGAACAAAATTGGATTTAACAAGGACCTGCTTCAAGTGGATTTTTAAATAATATACACCGTAATATACATGGTGAGGAGAAATTTTTTCACACAGCGAGTTGTTCGAATCTGGAATGCATTGCCTGAAAGGGTGGTGGAAGCCGATCCAATAACAACTTTTAAGAGAGAAGTAGGTAATTATTTGGGAAGGACAAGTCTGCAGGGCTAAGGGGAGAGAATGGGGGAATGGGATTGAATTGGATAGCTATTTTCAAAGAGCCGGCACAGACACAATGGGCCAAATGGCCTTCTTCTGTGCTGTATAATTCTATGAAGATTCTACACAGCAACCAACATAATATTTTGAGAGTTTAGGCAAAATTGAAGCACACACAGTGTGCAGTAATAAATACAGCAGTAAGGTATAATTTGTGAGATTCACTAAAAGATTAAAAATTTTAAATCTGCTGGTAAAAGGTGTGTCTTGGGCTAAATCTCTGGAGCTTCACTCAGCTTCACGGTCAAAGGACAGCGCCTTGGACGTCCTCCCGATATGAAGGGCACTCTATAAATGTAATTTTGTTGTATTTTGTTGTTGTTGGACCTTGAAGGAGGCAAGGGAAGGGCTGAGGCAAAGGGACTCCAGGATGGAGTTCCAGCGAGTAGAGGCACAAAGGTTGAAGGCATAGACATTGGTGCTACGTTCTATTTATGATTATCAGCCTTTGAGGGTGGTGAGAACAAGGCATAATTCAAGCGATAATCTGTGGTTTTTAAAATACTTAACGAAGACATTGATCAAATCGGATATCATTTATTTAGAATTTCACAAGACATTTCATGAAATTCAACATGTTAGACTTTTAAAGATGTTAAGGATCAGAGAGAACTGCTTTGGAAATAAGAAGCAGAAGGTGATGATAAAAAGTGGGGAGCAACTAGTAGAATTCCCTTCACTGTAGAATGTGTCCACACTCTACTGTACAGGACTGAAGTCACTGTGAATAATGTAATGTACATTATGCTGCACCACATTTTAAATGACAGTGTTATGTTCCACTTTCAGGTACTCACTGTGAGAAGAGTCTGGAAGAGACAGTAGAAGACCAAATACCAGAGGAATTTCCATGTTTTTAGTGGTGGAACATACCACAAGAGGAGGTAAGATAACACTGCAAAAGGTGTAGATCCTATCATCCTGTAAAACACACAGAATATAATCTCATTAAAAGTGCTTTTTTTAAACAGTCGAAATTACAATTGTAAAAAATGATTTCATGTTTTGTGGATTTAATTGTTGAGACCTCTGGTTGTGGTTCAAACAACAATTAAAAGAACAGAAAATAATATTGGCTTAGTACCAGGATTACCAAACACGATTCTTGACAATATAGATTATTTTCTTTCTGATCCCCAGAAGTCATGCTCAAACTGTACACTGCTCTGTTTAGCTCACACCTCGGGAATATTGTGTGCTGGTTCTAGTCCTGACTAAAGGAAGAATATTCCCTTTCAAATATAGAGGATATATTACATTTGTATTCCATTACGTATGCAATCACACTGACTCCTGACTAAATAAGCGATTCTTGACATTAAAGTAAATTTATTACATTATAATAAAACTCCAGCATCCAGTACTGAGATGATAAATAATATCCAAATATTGCTGTATGAGGCCCTATTACAATGGATGCCAATTCAATGCTTAAAGTATTCCTGATAATCAGCAGACCTCATTAGTCTGCATGTCAGACATGTCTAGAATTTTTCTTTCTGGAATATTTAACTACTTTTTATAACCTTTTTTTTCAGATGGAGTCAGTAGTTACTTTGAAATTATTCTGAGCACATCACCAGTATAGTCTAGTATATTCTGATATGTTCAGTAAATGGAAGAATTTGAATAATCTTTTTGGTAAAGACTTATCTCCAACACTCCAGAATAACACCCTGAGTACTGGTGCGATTACATTGCACCCGGTCTTGACAACGATTCACTTTCAGATCACACTGCCCAATCAGAATTTATTCTACACATGCAGAGTGTAAATTAGGCTTCCTGCTCCCGCACCACTTCATTGCTGGAATCAATATAAATTCACTTAAACAGCATCAACTAGGCATAGATTCTGTATCATTCCTCACAGTAATAGTTTAGCTCAAAATAAAGATTAGCACTTTAACACTACAAACATATTAGAAAAAGTTAATGAATATCTGATACATTTATAAAGGCTGGTAGACCTAATAGCCAGTGAAGAGGACATTTATTTCATTGTAATGAGGCAGAATTCAATATTACAGAATATCCTTTCTTCAGAGGTACAACAATGACATGTAGAATTGGTGCAAAGACAAACCAGAAAGAAGATCCATAAATAAAGGCCACATTGGAAATATTGAGGTTTTAGGCAATTTTATGAGGAATGGGCTTCCTGAAGGTCTTAGCACTCCCTCTGTTGGAAATTCTGACTCACACTATAATATGCACGTAGCTAATACACTACAGTGAATTGGATCACTGACAAACCTTGCCATTTGCTTCATGATAGATACTATTGACATTGTAAGAGAAAGATTATAAATTGGAATCAAATCTTCTTTTCGTAAAGTAAACCAACTCTATCAGTTTGCTGGTTCAGGTGTACATATGTTGTTGTTCTGGTTTTAATTAAAAGTGCATTATCTAATTACCTGCAAATTCCCTGTTGGAAAGAAGTAGTACACAAATGTTATTATTTTCAAAGATTAGGATGTCATTAGCAATCCTCAAATGCAAGGATTATTATGCCACTAGCAGGGTCTCTGCTACTGTTCTCAAAGGATATACATCTGCTATCACCAAAACAAAACAAACACCAAAAAGAGAGCAAAATTCCCCATGCCAGTTCATTTTGTATCATATTTGCATCAATCTCAATGGATTTTCTCTCCACTCCCTGAAAGAATATTTAATAATAATCTTTGCATTTGATATAGTGTATCTAATATCAAAACATATCTTGGCAATTTGCCGGCAGATCAAGCAGCCAATCTACACACAGTAGGGTCTCACAAGCAGATATCAAGTGAATGACTAATTTATCTGGGGGTTTGTTTGCCAGGAATGCAGGAGAAAGAAACTCTTCTCTTTCCAAATACTGTCATGGAAACTTTACCACCCACCTGACAGTCAGATGGTTACCACAGTTTTGATATTTTTTCCAAAGTATAGTATATAAAAAAAATCTGAATTCACCAATTCAGGGCTCAATGTGTAGTATGTATTAATAATAAATAATCATCCTTGCACTTTTTGCATCAGGCGATTATCTCAAAGCACTTCACAAGATTTTATTGCAAAGTGCAGTGACTGTATTTTGTAGGCAAAAACATAACTATTTGTATCTCCACCCAAGCAAACTCATTAAAGATTGCTAGACTCAAAGCAAATGGCTTGAAAAAAAAGGGTAGACCAACCAGGAAAACTGTGAAAAGATTCATTTAACTGCTTCAACTAAAAGAATCTTGCTTCTTCTTTCGGGTGTATCACATTCACCAATACTTTGGAGATTATCTGAAATCTCTAGGTTGCATTAAATAAACACTAGGATATTCATTTGCATCATAATAAGAAATATTGTCTCTTTTCCTTGGTTTGCTCCTGGTATTGTTTCTGTCATTTAAATTCACCTCCACTTCTTCCTTATTGTTGTTGTTCCTTTCAAACATACAATACAAATTACATTTGTAAAGTGTCTTTTGAGTCAGGAGGACGTCCCAAGTCGCTAGATAGTCAGGGATTTGGACCTGAGCTGGGAGTCGGGATCAGGGAGGGTGAAGGCTGGAGGGTGGCTGAAGGCTCGGTCGAAGTGGAGGGAAAGGAGAGAGCGAGATGAAGGGAATGTGGAATGGAGTTCCATAGGGTGGGGGCAGAAAGGCTGAAGGCCTGACCGCCAATGGTGGAGCAGGCTGGACGGGGGACATGGAGCAGGCCAGAGCCTGCTGAGCGGAGGGAGCGGACAGTTAATGTGGGGTCAGCAGGTCGCTGAGTTCGGGAGGGGCAAGGCCGTAGAGGGCCTTGAAGGCGAGCACGAGGATCTTGAACTCTATCCTCTGGGGGTTGTCTAATATGTATACTATTAACTGACATAGTTTGTTATTTTCTTAATTTAATTAATCTGTTACTATTGGTATTGTTTCCACATTCCATTCCTATACTTTTCACCGTTTTCCTTTCAAAGACACATTCACACATAAATCCATATCCTCGATGCACATCTTGCTCGGAATATAGCCACATCAAAGCAACCATCCTGGGATATATAAAACAGCTCAATTGTTATTCATGGCAATATGTACCACATATCATCACCCTTCCCACAGGAGAGAAACAAAACATGATAATGTACAGTTTAATGTATTGTCATTAACCAAAACTAATATGCAGACAGTGGACTGCTTGGCTTGGTTTACAAAGACAAGAGGATCTGACAGCTATGATACTCCCAGGCCTAGAAGTACTGCCTTGAATGTTTGTAGTTCATTCAGATAATCAGGACTCATAAGGCACTCAGGTGGCATAGTATTCCATAAGGATATGGCTTGTGGCTCAAAGCAGTTCAAATAATAAGTTGGTGAATCCTTCAGCTTACACAGCACACACGTAGAATAATTCAACAAAATTCTGCATAAATGCATAACCGAAAAGGATACAGATAACCTAATACAATAATAAAAATGCATCATTGACACTGTGTGTCAGACTGCCTCAGTTGGCAACTCAGGTTAACCCTCAGTTTTGGGGTCAAGCCTCACATCAGGACTGGATTGATGTCATATTTGCTTATATTTTGCCCTCAAAATATAGTCAATTCACTTTACAATATATTCTGTGAAGCGCTTTGAGACGTCTTGAAGACACGATAAGGCGCTATATCAAATGCAAAGATTATTATTAAAAATAGTCACTATATTTGACAGAAATTACTTAGGAAAGGCCTTTCACTATAAGATAAGAAAAATGAAAGTTATTTCTTTTAAAAGAGCAAAGGACAATTCGTGATATTTTGCTGTTGATACAAAAACAGTGATACCATCACTATCATCTTTAACAATTTCTTTACCCTCATCTTGGCACTGTTACTGCTTTCAGAAAGTGCCCCATTAAATAACACATTAAGGGAATGCAAATATCTGAAGATTTGAGACATTAATTCAACCTCACTTGTTCTGTTGCTTTTCAAGCACCAAAAAACTTTATTGGTTTATTATGCCATCAGCACCACTCAATTGCATTGTTGCATGGGACTCACTGCCAGCTACCATATATCTTTTCACCACGTGGATCAGCCATTCTAAAGTGCTGCAAATGAAAATTGATCTGATACCCGGATGTACAATACTATGCAACACATTATATCTTTGCTTTTATTACATACTTTACATTTGGGACATCCTCCTGACATGAAAGGCTCTATATAGATGTGAATTCATATTGTATTTATTTATTTTATCATCTTTACTTTAATTCAGGATGATAAAATCCTATTCTCTGTGGGGAAAGCAACATTGTTCTAATCTTTATATTTTTAAATTATGAATCTCTATCATCAAGTTCAGTAATTTTGAACACTATCCTATAGTTCAGCTTTTGCAATCTAAATCAAAGAGCTTTCTTATAGTTATATAATCTATGCCTTTCAATCATCTTTTTACAAATACTTGTTTGAATCTGCAAGTTTCTCCTCAGAAAATAGAGCTGTGCACTCCAGAATCAAATAATCTGTGTTATTTTTCTCTCCAACCCATCCAGCATTTTAAAATCCCTTTGAACACAAGGTCCCGCAAACGACACTAAACTCCAAAAGTGGCCTCAACAGTGATTACAACAACAACCACAACAACAAGATTACATTTGTATAGCGCCTTTCATGTCGGGAGGACGTCCCAAGGCGCTGGACAGAGTACAGCATTTCAGATCCGAGCTGGGGTCGGGGGGGGGGGGGGGGGGGGTAAGGGAGGGGAAGGGAGTTGGCCGATGGTATGGTGGAAAAGGGAGGTCTTGAGGCGGAACTTGAAGGAGGCTAAGGAGGGGGCGAGGTGGAGTGACTGGGGGATGGTTGGGGGCAGAGT